ATTATGATATATTTCTATTTATATATTAAATTAATATATAATCAAAACTAAAAAAATAAATTGATATTTATAATTAAAATTTAATGACTAAATTGGTACTTGTCTTCAAAGGTTAAAGACTAAATTGATATTATTTAAAAGTTTGAGGGTTATTTTGGTATTAAAAATTAAAAATTAGGAATAATTTTGATATGTTTAAAATTTAGAGATAATTTTGATATAAATTTAAAAATTAAGGAGCCACATTGGTATTTTAACTTTTTTTTTTTCTTGAATGTTCTCGTTGTGCGCTCTGCCTTTTTCGTGTTGATTTGTATATAGTGAGAGGAAAAAAAAGTGTTTTAACATATACAAATTTTTTTTTTTTTTGAATGCATTATATGCTCTACTTTTCCCCTGTAGGTTTATATGATCAGACGAAAACAAATATATATATATTTTTGGATAAAATGTAAAATTTTTATTTATCCAAACTGAATTTTTTTTATCAAAGGTAATGATTATAAGTTAGAAATTAAAAATTAATATCTTATTTTTTTGTCAAAGTTTGATTATTGGTCAAGATGTAATCTATCAACAGTCATGTTGAATTGCAGTAACAACCAATGAACCATAATAAAGGCAGTGACGAGCCAGGTGCCAGGAACGCTTGCGTCACCCTGAAATTTGAAATCTTGCAAATTAATATATGAAAAATTATCTAATCTCTTTTGAACTTTGAAAATTTTAGTATTTTACCCCCTAAAAAAATTCCCTGCCTCCGCCCTTGAATAAAGGAATGCCCAAACTGATTGTATACAATGTAAGCGGCAAATATACTGCTACCGAAAAAATATCCTAAACAGAATATACAAATAATCGATATGCACAAACTTAACATCACACTTTTGCTGCTTCTAGCCCCCTGTTGCATGCAATAGTTGTGGGCAATAATGAGGATTTTGGCTTAACAAAACCCAAAATTTTGCTTCATACATCAATTTGGCTGAAAACAAATATATATATATTATGTATTTTATAATTTAAACTATGTTAAATTACAAAATATTAATCATTACATGACAAAGAGGTAATATGACAATGAAGTAAGTTCTTTTAACTAATAAGTATTAAT